GATCGAGCGTCTTCGATAGGAATCAAATTGTCAATCGGAGTTGACTCACCCCGCGATCTGGGCTCCGATCCCGTTACAATTTGTAACGAGGAGGGAGACCAATTAGAGAACGGGGGCAGATCGACATCGACCTATCGGAATGTTCGATCTGGGACTCAGAAAAACTTATAAAAATCGCGCAAAAATAGGATGTGACGTTCTTGGTTACTAAGTTCGGTGTGCTCCGCTTCTGGATTTTTCCTGCGGTTCGTCGTCCCGAAAGAAGTTTTCGCCATCCTGTCCCAGCAACTTTCGCCAAGGATAATCTACTGTGAGAATCACCCCTTCAAGTTGTGCTGTGCACCCCGGAGCCTACGTTTTCCTCATCATCTTCGCCAAAAGAAGAGAAGATCGTAAGATTGAACTTTGAACTGATTCACTCTGTGGATAGGCCTTACGCCGAAGAAAACAGTAGTTGTAAGAGAAATTTTTATATTTAATAAATAGTTTGCGATGGAAGACCTGTCTCAGTAAGTTTTTCCACTCCCACACGACAGTGCTGACCGCTCGACTGTCGCGACACTTTTTCCCCAATCGGCAAACCTCGCATAATAGCTCGACATGAATCGGACTTCACGAAGATTTTATTCGTTCCTAGCTACTCTACTCTGAAAATAGAGTTACAGTAGATTGATAACAGGCACGACTCTATTGATAACAGGAAAAGTATAATGTATGGGGGTAAAACAAGAAAGTCTTCGAACACGGAATTAAGAATATACCAGAAATGTGTGTGTAAGATACAAAATATGCGTATTAATCGAAATTTTATAAATCTGAAATTGTTATTAAATCGCAGGCAACACTAAACATAAATGAAGAGTAATTCTAGAACACTCCAAATGCATATTATGGAATAAATAATGCTTAGTTTTTGCGAGTCAGACGTGTGTTCAACGCTGTTCTCTCTAAACGAAATTTAAAATATTTCTCAAATAAACTAAAACTTGCATATGAAAAAAAAAATTATTTAACAAATCCAAAGAGCAAACTGAATTACAATAAATTTGCTCTTCTAAACCTAAATAATCACCTTCCGTTATTCTAGAAATGCTATTACAGTATTAATTCAAACATATCCATTTGGAATAAAGAGATAAATAGAGTTTCGACTCGAGTTATGCTTACGAGGAAAAACATTTATTATCGTAAGCATAATTTGGTACTTAGGAGCCGTCCATAAATTACGTAAGGGCGATTTCGGCCATTCTAGATCCCCACCCACCGCTGTGTAAGAAACCGTAATATTTTATTTGATCCCCCTTCGTTTCCCTATCATACGTAATATTTAGGCATGGTTTTTAAGAAAGATTTTAACGAAAAAACTTTTTTTATGAAACCCCAAAAAACCTTAGGTTTAAAATATATAATTATTAATTACTGTACTTAATTAATATGTAGTATTATTTATAAAAGACTTTATGTGGACAAATTTAAAAATGTAATGAATTCGAATGAACAATTTATTTTAAAAACTTTATTTTTTAATTATTAACAATATTATTATTATTATTATTATTATTATCATTAATCAACGTCATAATATTTATTTTTATATTAATTTTAATGTTCATAAAAGGACGCAAAAAAACTTTGACAGATCGACTAGCCAGTGCACGTGTAAATATAAACGTCATACAAAATAAAAGAAGAACGAATAGAAACCATATTCGGTTGCCATATTTATTACATCTTGCATAAGTTCAATAAAATAAACTACTGTACGCTACATGCCAGGGAACAACGCTCATTCCATTCAAATTTTGTACGTGTGTGCAGAATGCGCCAAGGTGTACGAACCGAGCTATGCTGCAGTTTTACACGTCTCGATCTTGAATGTGATTGCTCCAAGTTCTAAAGGTGACACGACAGTGTTACATTTCCCCAGTCCAACGTCCGTAATCTTAATTAACTAATAATAATCATAGTAATATGACATACTGATACTATTTTCTTATTTAATTTTTTCAAAATATTAACAATTCCTGAGGCGTTGACGATATGAACTCAATTTCTCACAGAAAGTAAGCCAAACATGCTTAAATTCCACTGAAAGGTCACAAAAAATGCTTTAAATGAAAGAATAAACGATCTGTAAACTTACGGATTGTGGCAACACATTCAAAATAAAAACACTACACAAAATTTTCAAACTGCTTATATTTTTCTTCGGATTTCTTAAATTTGTCGTGTTTACTATCACCAAATATTGCAATTTAAGCAGGGCTGTGGAGTCGCGTAAAAATTTACCGACTCCAAGTCCGACTGCGATTCTGACTTTTTCTTACCAATCCGGCACCGACTCCGACTCCAGCTAAAACACCGAAACTCCACGACTCCGACTCCGACTCCACAGACATAAATTTAAGTCAAATTTTGTAACATTAAATTCAGCTTATCAGTGCCATTGGTCGAAAGACAGACATTGGTCTGTTCGAAACCATTTATTGTTTTCAGAGTACCGAAGAAAGTAAAAGTTGCTTTTATTATCTGAAATGTAGAATTAGATTAGATTTAACAACTTTCTATTTATAAAAGTTACGTATGAAAATAGCAGAAAAAAAATATTTTACCCTGAAGGCAAATTCTTTAGTAATTATGAAATCCAGAACTTCTACTCCCAGTTGTCTGGATCCCAATCTCTTTAGAAAGCACAAAAGCTGTAAATATAATATTTTTGTCTCGCATGAGGTTGATCAACACTTAATACAGCTCTCAAATAGAATAAAATGTTCTGTCGAATTGTTATTACTCACCCGCATTTTATCGATAAATGGTAAATTCAGAGAGTCAAAGTACCTAGTCTCGTCCAGACATTTCCTAGACTAATAATAGTAAAACACAATTTTATAACTGACTTAATTATATCGCATCAAACCTCAAAAACGTATACTAAAATGTTAAATAGTACATTGTAAATTAAAACTTTAATATTTTAATTTTTTAATACTTAAAAACTTGGATACTACTCACCGATGTACATATTATCGAGGCAGTTACACAAAGTGTGATCATAGAGACAAGTAATATGACTAATAGAGGATAAAACACAAATTTTCCTTCCAAAGACGTGTGCATTATAATTACAACAACAGTAGCAACGTAGGTAATGACGAATATATAAGAGATAGAAGTAAATACACTTCCAATGTCATTTATTGTTTCCATTTCGAGCGCAATTTTAGAGTATTCTGTTTGTATGTTCTTTACGATACGAATATGTCGCAGCTGTCGCGAATGAATAAAATGTATTTCCTCAAATAATGCCTCCAATTTATAATATATTATCATAAGGAATGTAGTTCCAATCGGAATGAATGCTAAAGTAGCTGACAGACATGTTGTGTTTAACGCAACGAAACCTGTACATATACCCGCAAGTAAGGCCCCACTATCTGCTTTCATAATCGGATAACGTTTTGTAATTAGGTGTATTGGAAATAATGTATTTAATAATACGCAAAAGCTAGTATAAACCTTCGCAGAATAGCTTTGAAATTGTGATATTTTGTTCGCTGTTTCTCGACTTATATTTTCATCGTGACAATGAACTTGGGCGTTAGTCATTCTCAAATATGTTGGATAAAGTGTGATCAAAAATGTAAAAGTTTGTACGTTAACCATGAAAATTTTAAACATGGTCGGATGGTTTGTAGACTTGTATATGAGGCCCGAACAATAAGGAAGCGTTTGTGTTTTAGGCAATATAACGATAGCCATGAAAACTGTGTAATATACAGAAATGTAGATACTTAAAAACAACAATTTCCACGAAACAGTTTTTCTGTTATTTCGACTGTTGTTTATGGATTCGTGGTCGCATGTAATTATTAATAGTCGATCGGATTTGTCAATAAGTTTCAAAAGATATTTCAAAGAAACTTTGACACAAACGCGGTTAATTGTACTTTGCATATTTATAAACTGCATAATAATCTATTACTGTTTTTTAATTCTGATGCTGAAATTAAATTAGATTAGATTTAAATGTCACTAATTACACGTAGTAAATTATTAAGTATAAGATATTGTACATATACCTGCTGTTTGGGGTAGAGTTTCTCTAAAACGTATTCTTCTACGAATTATTCGCCAGCTTTGGGATATTCCTTCAGCACTCGTTCAAGTTACGTTATTGTTTTTAGTGAAATTGATTTGAGAAAATGTTCGGAATTTTTATTCTTCTAATTATCTTTTAATATAACGTAGAGAAATGCGTTGAAAATTTAAGAAATTTGCATCCATTAGAGCTAATGGATAGTTGCACTAAGTGATAGGCTTTATTACTGTCGTTTAATTAGTGTAAAACACGGAAGTAGGAAAGTTGTATTCTCATATAAATGCACTTT